TGAAGGATGGAGGGGGAGGGAAGAAGCAAGAGGAAGGGATGGAGAAGGAGGAAAGAGGGAAGAGGAAGAGATGGAGAAGGACACGGAAGGAAGAGGAAGGAGGGAGGGATGGAGAGAGGTTGAGAGGTAAGAAGGATAAAAAAAAAATGGGAGGAAGAGGGAATGGTGGAGGAAGAGGAAGGTATGGGAATGGTGGCGAGATGGGGGGAGGATGGAGGGGGAGATGGAGGGGGGGGGAGTCCTGTGCTGCGGTTCTTGTCGCCAACACAGCCTGACGCCAAGATGTCTCTCCTCCTCCTCCTCCTCCTCCTCCTCCTCCTCCTCCTCCTCCTCCTCCTCCTCCTCCTCCTTCCCCTCCCCCTCCCCGTCCCCCTCCCCCCCCCTCCTCTTCCTCCTCCACCTCCTCCTCCTCCTCCTCCTCCTCCTCCACCAGATGTTACGATAAGTATACGAGGAAACTGGAAGCAGGGGGAGGGGAGAGGAGGGGGGGGGGAGCTGGAGAGAAATAGAATAGAATTAATAGAGAATTGGAGTAAAAGTGAGGGACGGAAAGAGAGAAAAGGGGAGGAGAGAAGTAGAGTGCAATAAAGGAAACAAATGGAAGAAAAGCGAGGGATAGAGAGAACTGGAGATGAGGATGCGGGAACAGTAAGAGAAAAGGAAAGAACGGGAAGTGATAAGGCGAGGAGGGGGGGGGGGGGAGAGGAGGGGGGAAACTCAAAGGGGAGGGAAAGAGGCAAAGTGGGAGGGGGGGGGGGTTGCGGGAAAGTTCCCTCCCCCAACCTCACTCCACCCTGAGGGCATTTTCAGTTCAACGTGTTCAGCGTAATTGCTATAGGCTCTCACTTCCTCGGTGTTTCTCCTGAATTACGGGGAATGGAGAGAGTAAGAGAGGGAGGGAGGGAAGGAAGGAAGGAAGGAGGGAAGGATCCAGCAAAGGAGAATGAAAGAGAGAAGGAGAGAGAGGGAGAGAGGGAAGAGAGAGAAGAGACAGACAGACAGGAAGGCAGGCAGACAGACAGATAGAAAGATAATAAAGAAAAAGAGACCAACAAAAAGAAGACAAATCCAAAGAATGCTAATGCAAATACTAATCCTTTTTAGAACTTAGATAGGCCTACAATACGAGTCAGCCCTAGCATTATGAAAAAGAACGGGTACAAAAAAACCAAAACCTGTGTACACAAGTCTGTATATATATCTATCTATCTATCTATCTATCTATCTATCTATCTATCTATCTATCTATCTATCTATCTATCTATCTATCTATCTATCTATCTATCTATCTATCTATCTATCTATCTATCTATCTATCTATCTATCTATCTATCTATCTATCTATCTATCTATCTATCTATCTATCTATCTATCTATCTATCTATCTATCTATCTATCTATCTATCTATCTATCTATCTATCTATCTATCTATCTATCTATCTATCTATCTATCTATCTATCTATCTATCTATCTATCTATCTATCTATCTATCTATCTATCTATCTATCTATCTATCTATCTATCTATCTATCTATCTATCTATCTATCTATCTATCTATCTATCTATCTATCTATCTATCTATCTATCTATCTATCTATCTATCTATCTATCTATCTATCTATCTATCTATCTATCTATCTATCTATCTATCTATCTATCTATCTATCTATCTATCTATCTATCTATCTATCTATCTATCTATCTATCTATCTATCTATCTATCTATCTATCTATCTATCTATCTATCTATCTATCTATCTATCTATCTATCTATCTATCTATCTATCTATCTATCTATCTATCTATCTATCTATCTATCTATCTATCTATCTATCTATCTATCTATCTATCTATCTATCTATCTATCTATCTATCTATCTATCTATCTATCTATCTATCTATCTATCTATCTATCTATCTATCTATCTATCTATCTATCTATCTATCTATCTATCTATCTATCTATCTATCTATCTATCTATCTATCTATCTATCTATCTATCTATCTATCTATCTATCTATCTATCTATCTATCTATCTATCTATCTATCTATCTATCTATCTATCTATCTATCTATCTATCTATCTATCTATCTATCTATCTATCTATCTATCTATCTATCTATCTATCTATCTATCTATCTATCTATCTATCTATCTATCTATCTATCTATCTATCTATCTATCTATCTATCTATCTATCTATCTATCTATCTATCTATCTATCTATCTATCTATCTATCTATCTATCTATCTATCTATCTATCTATCTATCTATCTATCTATCTATCTATCTATCTATCTATCTATCTATCTATCTATCTATCTATCTATCTATCTATCTATCTATCTATCTATCTATCTATCTATCTATCTATCTATCTATCTATCTATCTATCTATCTATCTATCTATCTATCTATCTATCTATCTATCTATCTATCTATCTATCTATCTATCTATCTATCTATCTATCTATCTATCTATCTATCTATCTA